TGCATCTACTTCAAATACCTTGGAAAAGAAATTGGTTGATCTATACCTTATTTTTGGCCTCAGCAACTGCATGGTGTGAAAGCAGTTTTGCCGCTATTGATGAGTTTTCCCAATAGACAGTGGAGAGCAGTGTTGCCGCTGGCATCTGCAACATTCGGATTGGCACCGTGCTCCAAGAGGATAGATGCACACTCTTCCTGGTGGTATTGTACAGCCTGTGGGTATTGTAAGAAGAGAATGTCAATTCCGGGAACTCAAAAGAGACCTTCCTCATGCCTCACCAAGTAGTGATATTAAATTACATCAATTAAATTTTATTTCAGCAATTAAATGCAATCCATCTCATGCTGAAATTGGTGCCTGCTACCCACCTTAATCAGGGCAGTACTGTTTTCCCTATCACGGGTGTCGATGTCACATTTATGCTCCACCAGGAGAGTCACCACTTCGGGATGGCCACAGACACAGGCAAAATGCAAAGCAGTCCTATGACAGTGAGAAAGATTCTTAGGAAATTACAGAGCTCTATTTCAAAATGCACCATTATTCTTGTAAGGGTGAACATTAAATAGTCTTCAACACAAATAGCTAATTTTCTTCTAAAATGTACAATACTTATTACTCACCAGTTCATGGAAGTGCAGCCAGGTGATTTTGTGTTTGTGTGTGTGGTGCACGGATGGGAGCCAGGGTCTTGCCCACACTAAGCAAGAGCTCTACACTGAGCCACAACAGCCTCCCCATCCCAGAGCAGCGTACTGTTACAGAAAGACCAAGTTTTGGATTGAGCTCAACTTGGATTTAATATTTCATTTAAGTTCTTACTTTCTAGCTATCTTTGAGCCTTTCTATGCCTCAACTTTCTCACCTACAAAATGATGAATGAAGTTATCTCACAGTATATTACTGTGTTGGTTAAATAAGAATCCATACAAAATATTTAGCACTATTTCTAGAACAAATAACAATAATCATTAGATGTTGTAATCACTACTTAAGAAAGACAGCATTTCAATTAAGTAAAATAAATCATTTGTAGAAGAAGGTGCAACTATCCATGTTCAGCACTCAACCTTTGCATACGAATCCCAATTCACTGAGTCAGTGCTGCCACGAATAAAATTGCTTCCTGGGAAAATGGACTCAACATCTCATCTCTGTACACGAAAATCCTGCAGAAGTGCACTGAAAAAGCGTTCTTCATACAAAGTCATCACATAATCCATCGTGCCATACATTAAGTAAAATATGATACAGCAACAGTTCTATGGCAGCAGGGGCCACATGGTTGGTATTTAAAAACTACTACAAGGAAAGAGGGCTATAAAACAAAGTAAAATAATATAAAATAACAACCCTTAGTTTGATTTTCATTTTAACCTGAATAGAACACAGGTTTCAAATGAGTAGGTACAGCCCATTTTATTCAGTATTTATATTTATAGAGTGAACAGAAAAACTACTTCT